TAGCACGGACAATTTTATGCATCTCTTTCACTCATTAAAACAGAAACCTAGAAATCATAATTTTTCTAAAATTTATCGTTTGGGTTTTTTTTACTTTATAGTTGAATTTGCTCAACTTCTGCATCACACTATCCAGAACATACTGGCCCCAACACTTACGGGTGACTCCAATACATGCAGTACCTCCTCCTGTGGATACCTAATCTTATTTTGCTCACCTAAAACTGGGAGGACTCAAAAATAAACAAATACAAATACACTGAAGATGTTTTCTATTTCAAAGCTTTACCTATGCTATAGTACTTGACCAAACTCCTTTACCTTTGTATAGGGTATACCTTTATATAAACTTGATATAGAATAGTATCAGTTACACATACGAGTTGGCATCTCTTTACAAAATTGACCTCTTGTTTACAATTTTATACTAATCACCTTACTGACCTTTCAGTATTGAATTTATTTGCTGTTGCAGTGCCCTACTCTCTACTGTCTGAATATTAAATGTGTTTGTTTTCCCAGAGGGCTAGAGAACATTGGACAAAAGGGTTCAGCAGGAGAGAGTGAAATAAAAAGAGGTTGTGAGTCTTTAACCTTGAGCCTGAAATGAATGTGAACCAAACTCAAGATACTTGGCTTTTATAAAGCCAGGTAAACATTCGAGTATAAGCCCACACACTACCAACCATAATATATCTGTTGATGCTTAACAGGCTTGGTATATTTTGCCTAGTTGGTTGTGCTTAGGAATGAGATTCTGAATATCATCTTTTTCTTCTAAAGGGAAAAAATTTGTAGTATCTAAAATTCTATTTCTTTTTTTTTTCTTTTTTTTTTTCTTGCCTGATGCAGTATAATAAATCTGACTTTCAAGGTGGGATGAAACTGAAGAGTTTTTTCTATTACAGCTCCAGAGAAGAAAGAAGTGGAAACTTATAGCAGTGTCAAAAATGTCCTGAAGTGTTGTCCCCCAGTCTTTTGTTTAAAAACAGTTCATTTTTTTTTCTGTTGTCTCCATTACTGTGAGAAAAGGGAGTTGTATCACACTGTTTGTCTTCCCTTGGCATTGTCAGCACCATGAAGAGATACCATTACATGAACTCTACACAGTTCATACTAAACCAACCCTCCCTGGGTTCTATCCATCATGGGTATGTCCCTGCTTTTACATGCTGTACAGCCATAAAAAACATCGGATCAAGCTCATCTGCTTTATTTTATCTTCAAAAAAATTTTAAAAATAACATGGGCTTCGTTTCAGCGGAGACCCTAAACATTTTACACTAGGTATTATTTCAAATCTTGAACTCAAGCATGTATGAAAAGAATTTGTTGCTGTTGGGCCATGGAACTCTGGGTAAATAATATTTTTTTCTTAAACATGGGACTAGCATTACATATAAGAGGAAAATTAAATACGGCAGTATTAGATATTAAATGATGAGGCAGAAGTTAAAATGCCACCTTTATATGCCAACAAAACCTCTACTTTCATTTCCACAAACAAAAGAAGTAAGTTTTGTCCCTGTAAGCAGTAATCTGATAAACTGGGGGACAGGCTATGAATGAGGTTTTGAATTACGTTGTAATGCAGAAATTCTGTCACTCAACGAGGTGTGACACTGAAAAAAATAGATTTTTTTTCTTCTAGATGCCAAGCTAAATATGGAGCATTTAAAGTTGAGGAGGGAGTTTCTCCTCACAGGAAAAATTAATGGAAAACAAATACACACCTCTGAAACTGCAGAGAAATTTTAAGAGAAGAAGCTGGGATTCTACACCTCCCTAGTGAGGAAAAATATTTAGATATCTAAGGCCAAAGTTTGGCCCTTACATTACCATTGTGTTCAGACTTATCATCTTAGGTATCAGTAGATCTGAACCAGTTCTAAACTAATATATCTGGTGAAAATCAATGTGAACAAATAGAACTTATTCTAGGAACACCTAAACGTTCCTGCAAGATCCAAACAGTCCAGGCCAAAATTTTGCCACAGGTCTTCACACAGAGTGAGGGACTGATGGCTGGTGGCACATTCTGCAGTTCCATCTTCAGACACATCTGAGCAAAACATGTGAGTTTGGTGTTTTCTTACAATGGCCCATTAGTTCCAAATTCAGGGCAGGGCAGGTACCTTTTCATAACTGCCTTTAAATACAGCCAAAAATCTACAGTTTTCCCTCAACTGCATAAGGTGTTAGTCAGCTACCTAGACTGACCAAAAACTTGGTGTTAAATATAAATTAGATGCCAAATTTTGGTATTAAGAGAAAATTTGTGTGCTTTCTCTACCACAGAACGTGAAGCCTCACAAATTCAATTTGGTTCCTCCCTTGTTAAACATAGAGACTTAAAGACACTGTGCAACTTGAAGAAAAGCTGCACTTTCATTGGGTTCTGCTGGACCTGTTCAAGCATAATATCAAACCTTTTTATGTAGGTGAAAATTTACCTTCACTAAAAAGAACCCAGCTGGCAAATAGAACCTATACCTGTGCAACAAGAAGTGGCTGTATTCGAGACAATTAAATGATTTTGTTAGTTGAAAAGCTCTAATTGATTCAGCTGCACCTGAAAGAGCTGGACTGGTTTTTGTGTTTAGACAGCAGAAATAATACGTAGCTTTGCAGAGAATGTCACCTTATCAGTCCATGCTATAAAGTAACCATGTTACAAAAAGTTTCCCGATTTAAAATAGGACAATACAGTGACGTGTTTTTAAAGCTGCCTCAACAATAATACTGTTTTTTCTCATCATTTAGGCTGATTACTTTGCACTTTAAAATACAAGATACAAAGGCATAGATAATGAAGGAATTAGTGTGTCACCTTTTCTCCCCGAGTTCAAATACTGTCTTTAGTAATGCAAATGAATCTCTTATCCCAGTCCCCTTGCTCACTCTACAGAGCCCTCACATGGCACAGAACAACTGAGATGATTCAAACCCTGATTTATAATTCCAGGTGCTCTGTCAGGTACACTGGATGATTGGAGTGGGTAAAATTGATTCAGAGTTTATTTATTTATTATTGTGCAAGACAATCTTCCTTCTTGCACCTCTGCCAACCTAAAATCTTGTGGTATCCCAAGATCTGGATAAGCTGTTCTGTACCACTCCAATCCTCTTATCTTGAGCACAAGCAGTCACATGAACTTTCTGTAGTGTGCCCTGCTGTTACCAAATGGATGTACAAAGAGAAGGGAGAGTATTTGGACTGACCAAGGACCATGTATCTAAAGCTGGCATGACTTCTGCTTTTAGGAATTTTAAATGATGAACATCTAAATTTGGAGACCATAAACAAGGGCCAAGTTCAAAGAGAGAAAAATGGGCTGAAATTCTGTACAACTTGGCCAACTCCAACCACAGGATCAGCTGGACCCCCCAGCAGCAACACTGTGACCCCATGCCATTACTAAAATGCAGTCTGCCAACTAAAAGAGGAATTAAAGCTTTCCTAATTAGTGGGTGTATTAGGCCAACCAATAACGAGCAGCATATTTACATGTAAAAAGTTACACATGCCAACCACCAAACCATTTCAAATGTGTGTGGAGAAGCTTTCACAATACCTGCTTTGCACCTTTTCTGCCTCTGCCTGTGTTTTAGTGTCCTCTCTAAGAAATGCTAAAAATCCGCTCATGGACTACATGGAAGTAGAAGGATAGAACTCATACTTAGCCATAAAACATTTGCCAACAGATCACGTTTTGCCATCCTGTTTTTTCCTCTCTGCCCCTCCACCCCCTTCCAAAAAGTTATGTTTTTTTTCAGCAGTAAACCAGCACAAACCTTCACTTCTTTTCAGTGGTAGGTCACTGGGACACAGACAGCATCCCTCCCTTTGCCCACTCACAGAGGATTTAGTGTCCCCCCCCTCACTCTGTTCCTCTCATTTCCTGCTGGGAAAGCACTGTGCACCATCCCTGACAGCCTCATGGGCTCGGTCTGGATTTATTTCCACCAGTGTTCTTACTGTCAGGTGCTTAATGGCATTAGATTGCCCTGGCATAAGTCAGCTGACCTAGTTTAAAGACTGCATATCTGGCATCAATTGTGTCGCTTCCGACATTTAACTTTACACTTTTACAACTGAGACACAGAAATGAAAAAAAAAACAACCTTGCTGTTAACAATTCAATTCAACCCAACAACCAATACATCATTTTATTACATGTTTTTATATTTATTCGAAAGCTAAATGGCTAGAACAGTGGGTCTATACTCGAGTGTTTACCTCACATATGCATGAAGGAAAAATAAAAGTTGGTTCAACGATACTTATGTTCACATTATCCAGGCTTCCAAGTGTAGTTGTTGTGTGCAAGTTATCTCTGTTCATGTGGTAACTGTGATTTTTTTTTTTTTCCCCCTGTGGTAGCATGATTACGCTTAGTACTTTGTCTGCTTGGCTTTTTGTGCTCTTGGCTGCATCCATTTAGATTTTTTGCTTTAAAACATTGATATTACTTATAGTTTTTACACTTGGCTCCTGTGTGTGTCTCATCCGTACCCATCCGACCGTGTCCGTGTTCTGTGCTTTTCTGTTTGTGAAGTGTGATATGTTATGTGTAATGGTTTTTTTTTAACGATACCAAAAAGAGACTTTTTTGAATTAAAAAAAAGCCTTCCTACTTACTCACTGCAAAAACTATCAACATGCATGGTTTTACATTTGCATTACAATTAACATGGCTTGTCTTTTACTAGGGATGTACCACACGAGTGGACCTTGGCTTTCTTTAACCAGTACTTCCCATCAGTTCTTTGATGGCTTTAAACCTGATTTATTTTAATATTGCAGTCGGTGCAGATATTCCAAAATGCACATAACTTGAGCCACTCGTTTATGCATATAACATCCAGAGACTTTGGACTTCAGCTGCCTGCACTGCCCTAACCATATGCTACATTTTTCACCAAGTATTTATTCTCTAACACGGTGCTGCCCCCGGGCAGGTTCCGCCTCTGACACCCCTTTCCTCTTCTCCCCCCAGATCCGCGTCGTGAAGGCATTCCGTAGCTCTCTCTATGAAGGTTTAGAAAAACCAGAATCTAGAACCTCTATTCACAACTTTATGACTCATCCTGAATTTAGGATAGAAGATTCCCAGCCCCACATCCCACTCATTGATGACACAGACCTAGAAGAAGACCCTGCTCTCAAGAAAAACTCGAGTCCACCGTCTTCGCTGAACAAGAACAACAGTGCTATCGACAGTGGAATAAATCTTACAACTGATACAAGTAAATCAGCTACCTCTTCTAGTCCAGGAAGCCCAATACATAGCCTGGAGACATCACTTTAGCTGAAAAGGTCACTGCAAAAAAAAAAAAAAATAAAAAAAATAAAAAAAAATAAAATTAAATAAAATAAAACTCCCCCCACAGCAACCGAAATATATAAATATATATATTAAAAAACATTGCTGGCTGAAAAGCTGTTTGAACTCTTATTCACTCTGAGACAAGTGAATGAATTGTTGATCACAATGGTTTTGGGGAAAGAATGAATGGCTGATTTACATACCCCCCCTGTTCCCTTTCAGAAAAACAAAAAAACAAACAAAAAAAATCCTCCTGCATGAATGTACTGTACACTGCTGGCCCTTCTTTCTCTCTTTTTGTTTGTTTTTATTTCCTTTTTGGTTTTTTTTTTTTTTCCTCCTTAAGCAGGAACTGCAGAGGACTTCTTTCTGAGGCTATTTATCCAATTCACTGGTCTGTGAGTTTTTTGAAATGCTTGTGTGGCATGGACTCAATTGTATAGATTAATTTAAATAACTTTTTTGAAGTTGCAAAGCTTAACTTGCACAGTAGATTTGCACCAGTTGGACAGAGGAACTTAAACATTTATGAGACTATATATAGAGATATATACATATAAGTATATAGATAATTAATTATATATATGTATATATCTATCTATATATATATAGTTATATATATATAAAGTTTCTTTGTTGGCATGTTGCCTTGTTTCTGCTCAAATTGCTCTGACTATTTTAACTTATTTATGTCCTAAAAAAGAATGTAATTTGTTTACAAACCTGTAGATAAATATCCTTAACTATTTGTAGGGTTAAGAAAGCACTTCCTGCCGAAGTAGTATAAAAATGGCTCAGCTCAGCTCATTGAAAATGTCTGTAATATCGCACCCTGGATATTTTATTACAACCATGTTCTGATTTCTGCCTGATTTTATTTATTTTTTTTTGTTAAATAATGTAGATACTGCTAGTAAATAACAAAAGAAGCCAAAATATAACACATTGGATGTAGCATTGTGATCCTATATACAGGGAGGTAAACCAGGCTTCCTTTGTTTCAAATAAAAATCAAAATGATCAGGTTCTCTCTTTTTTTTTTCCCCCTCCTTTTTTTTTTTTTTTGTTGGTCCCTCTGATAATCTGCTTGAATTTGTTTTGGTGCAACATACAATAATGGAGGCTATTTCATTCTTTAAACATGCAGCAATGGCTTCCAAAAATATCTTTAGAGAAATATTGAGTTTATGATTTAAAATAAGTTATATTTGGTTTGTCTATATGGAGATAAAACAAATGTTAAAATACTGTGATATACGGCATTTAATCCTTTTCAATTAGTAATTTAGGCATTTATTTCCTTATTACTTGCAAAGTATGGGCTGTTGGCATTTTGGATGAGAATCACTGTAGGTTGTCGCTTTGATTTTTTTTTAAAGAAAAATATAATTTCTGCACTATTAGGACTGAATGAATCTTTATTAATTGTGTATTGAGATGTGCTTTGTGTGATTTTTTTTTTTTTTGACCAAGCTTGTCTTCCTGTAGTCACAAGGTATACTGTAACACAGTAATACATTATTTTACCTTGAGCTTTCTACAAAGAAAGCTGTTTTGCAAACCTGCAGTATGGGAGGTGGAAAATATTTTTCAAGATGGTAACAGCCCTGAAAAAGCTTAAAATTTATGAGCTTATATAATTGCTATGTCAACCACTTGAATGCTAAGCACTTTGTGGATCACAGATTTTTCATAAATAATTTTTGTATTTAATATAAAGTTTGCTTGGAGACTTTTCAGCATATGATCTTTTCCATAACTGTACAGTGCAAAAGACATTTTGAATTACACAGTTGATTCTGCCAGGTGTGTTGGAGAACACTCTCAAACTAGCTTGATAAATCGATTTGTCGAGGTACTGTTACTGGTTTTGTCTTAAAGTTGGCTCGTAAAAAGGGGTTCATCTCTGCAGTCACCAGAACTAAACCAAGCCAGAACTCTCCAAACCAAGATTAGACTCATGGCCAAACTGCAGACTGAACTGAGCAGATGTTTTCAGGGTGCATCAAGACTTATCAGCCAGGTAAAGTTCTAATCAGCTTGACTTGCCAGCTTCGGACTTTTGAGTAGAAGCTCTTGAATGTTTTTGGCTCAAACGTAGTTCGCTCTCTGATCCAAACTTCTCACTGACCAACAGAACAGGCCTTTGAAGGCACTTACAGCTCTCTGTTCAACAGATAGTGTGACCCTTTTCTTACCAGTATCAAGCTAGCATGAAACCATAATTATTTTAGCTGACTCCTAGCAACAAAGTGATTAAAACTCAGTCAGGATTGTTCGCTTTGTAAATACGGTGATTAACCTTTGTACAACATGTATTGGGTTTCTATGGCCTACTTGGGATATCATATTCAGAAGAAAAAAAAGTGTTATCTATTTACAGGGAAGCCTCTAGCTTTGGACTTGATCATCTACAGAAGCTATTAATACTGGAACAGTTTATTTTCAACATCTTGACACTGACTCTTTGCCTTTTTATTTTCAAACACTCTTCATATTTTTTCTTCTGTGTTTTTGTTTTTTTTTTTTTTTTTAAATTTTCCTGTAGGAGTACCCCTCCCTAAGGTACCATTTGCAGACTTGAAAACTGTTAAGAAAATGAACACTGCATTCTGTGTATATATAGTAAAACATATATAAACTGAGATGCATAGAAAACTTGGGCTTTTGTGAGCAGAGACTGTGCTTTATGTATATGATAAATGATAGACTTTTTTTTTTTTTTTAAAAGCAGAATAGCTATGACCTTTCAACTACAAGTCGTGCATCACAATTCCTTTCTTTTATTGCTTGACCTCTCTGTGATGGGAACAATGGATCAAAAACCAAAATGATCAGTTTGTTAAAATTCCCTGCAATATATAAATGCTCGCTCTCTACGTACTGTACTTAGCAGCATGAGATTTGTGGACAACAATACAGTGGTACATTGGCAATCCATCCCACTAGGGGTTATTAATATATGTTCATTCATCTGTTTTTATGAATTTTTTTATCTAGACAATAATTGTAAATAAAGAACTTACTCTGTCTGTTCATTTAATACTATGCAAAAGGTTATGCTTTCTATTGTTATTCTTATTCCTACAGTGTGATGCTGGAATGTTTGTGGTTTCAAAAAAAAAAACAAACAAAAAGACAAAAGTAAGTAAAATATGTGATGTAAATTATTTTATAGTTTGAAACAAAATGATAAAGTTTTACTCTTGCTGCTTTCTGTCTAATAGATCTCTCTTGGCAGGAGCACAAGTGGAAAATTTAAAGAAATAAATTCACAAAGCAGCATGAACAATAATGGTCTGAATGTAACAGCTTTCTTTATTTTCACCTGAGGTCATTAGATCTGGCTCTGGATTCCCACTGGGATATTTTAATGTAAAGGTATCTGTAAATCTTCGGGATCAGGCACTGAGTCAGCCCAGAATGCTTTAATTCCTGCCTGGCTGAGGCAGTGCAACGTCCAGAAACATACCCTGCTCTGTACAGTGGTGGGAATGGTTGATGGGAGTACTGCAGGGAATTCTTCTGGAATGACTAGGTACAGAATAAGTAAAATGGATGAAGTGAATTTGCTTATGAAACAATCAGTTTGCTATTGGCCCTCAGACCAACAGTTCTGTCAGGCTGTTCTCCTGTCACTGGCCCAGATGAGACACCTCTGCATTTCGATTTTTCCAGCTCTTTCTCCCTCTGTCACGATCAGAAAAAAGGTCTTCGAAGCTTTCTAAAACTGGGGATTTCAGGCCAGGACTCATCTTGCCACTTAAGACTTTCAAAACTGTGCATATGCATAGGGCAAAAGGAGGGAATCCCCACTCTGCTGCTCAGACCCTCAGCCCAGCAGAGTTCCTCCTCTTTTTTTTCAGCTTCAGGTTAAAGCAGTTGTTCCCTAAACTTCAATGCAGCCTGTGATCATACAGCATCCTTGCACTTTGGTTAGGAGTTATCCAAACAGACAAGGTGTGAGGTGACTGTGTCACATAATCTCGTTTTTAAAGGTAAAATGCTTCACATTATGGATTTTCCCTTCTTCTCACCCAGATTTCCAGCTTTTACTCACAAATTCTGTGTGACAAGTAATATTTGAAAATGAAATAGTACTACACTGTGAGAAAAGATACATAAGAATGTATCCAACACAGTAAATTCAACAAAAAAAACCCAACAGGAGACAGTTGTTACTTAGGCAGCAGATTTCTTGGATTAATGGAGCTTTAGAGCTACTTGGGAGTTAAATTGTTTTCTGCTTTGATTTTGTGAGCTCGCTACAGGCAGCAATCAGAAAATATTTTCCTTTTGATTCTCTGTCACTCATTTACCTCCTTCCTACACACATAACTTTATCAGTCCATGTACTTTAGGCAGGACTCTTCATCTCTGCCAAAAATTATCAGTGATGAGGCACTAGTAAGAAAGAGGACTGGCATTGTTCAGTGTGTTTTAAATACTGTGTTTGAGCTTCTGTGAGCTTGAGAGGTCTATTTTCTGAGCTGCACCCTCTCAAGAGTGTTTTTAAAATCCTTTCACAGCACTGCAGGGATGTGAGTTGTACGTGTGAACTTAGAAGAATGACAGGAACGAAATTCCTTTGCATGTAGTGTTTGAGGTTCCTGGTCCATCGTGGTGAACTTATATATCCTAATTCAAAATAAGGATACCAGGTTTCATGCTAGGATGGCAATGAGGGTGATCATGTCTGTCCCCAGAGAAAAACCAGGTGCTGCTTTGCCATGAGATGCTGTGCTGATACAGGATGGGGAAAATGGTGCATAAATAGTGGGTGAAGGAGAGGCAAAAAGAGGAAAGGAGGAGGAGGAGGAAGAAAATGCAGGTGCATATAGTTTGCTATCTAACGAAATGAAACACAATCCTAATTGTTTGTTATTGGCTTGATTTTGACACTGAATTCTAATACAAGAGATACTCAAGCAGTATTCTCTGTCTAAAGGCCTTTTCCAGCTCTTCCCATATTCATGAATAGGCTCAGGTTCCCAAAGTAGCTGGAAACCCCTGACTTACAAAACTCCTGCTCAGCTGCTCCCCCAGACCTGACATTTCTGTGACCAGAAGGTTGACCAGAAGTAGATGATCTCCAGCATCCCTGTCCAGCTGAGTATTTGGTGTTATTCTGTGAAAGGACAGTGAGTAGCTGGGTTTGTGGTGTTGGTTTGCTCCAGTGTGGTGGTGCACTGTGTGCACAGGCTGGCAGAGGACCAGGGCTCAACACTCCAACCTTCCTCTTGGTCTTACAGTAATAGTAGACTTGCTTTGGGGATCCACAAAAAGGTAAGCAAGAGATATTTCCTATTTGTGTTTGTATTCCTGCAGCAGTGTGAGACATTGACGTAGAGAACATAATAATAATAATAATAATAATAATAATAATAATAATAATAATAATAATAATAATATAAAATTTATTCATGGCTCAGATCCAGACTGCAGTTTATAGCCCATTGCCCTGGGCAATGCAAATCCATATTTCTCATTTTCTCAGCACATGAAACCCATTTAGGTAACGCTCAGGTTTGATCAACACAATGATATAAGAGGTGTTGAGAGAGATAGAGGAGTGCCTGATTCTGTCTTTTTACAAGCAGGTATTAAAAGGCTTATGATGATCTAACCTTATGGAAATAGAAGTATGATTAAATAACTTATTTATTAAAAACAAGGCAGGCTGTTGAAAAACACAAATCAAAGGAAATATTTACAGCAACGTTTTCTCCCATATGTTCAGACAAACTCTGTTTATCCGTGTGTCTGGGAGACTGTGTTTGCCTGGTACCAACTAAGTGTTAAATTCCAAGTAAGGGAATGTGCTGCACTTCTCTCTGTGATGGATTTGTTTGCTTTTCAAGCAAATTATAAAGCACTCCCCTCTACTGCCTGTGTGTGTGTGTGCATTTAAGAATCATTGAAGTTGAGCTGGTGCAAGCAAACAGTGTTTACAAGATTATGAAAATTAGAAAAGCAAGTTATATAGCTTTCTTGGAAAAGCTTTATGGAGCATTTATGGCATCTGTTAAAGATGACCCTACATCACAGAACAGTGAGGGTTGGAAGGGACCTGGAGATCAGTCCAACCCTCCTCCTAGGAAGGGTCACCTACAGCAGGTGACACAAGAACCTGTCCAGGTGGGTTTTGAATATCTCCAGAGAGGGAGACATATGTATTTAGAAAGCCTCCTAGTGCTTTCATCAGTGGGTTATTTCAAATTATTTCAGACTCGGGTTTCTCAAAGAGGTGTTTAAAATTATCTTATAAAATTATTAAGCGAAAATAAACATTATTGGATGATAAGTCATCTGAATAAGGTACTTTCTCCTCATAGCACATATAATAGTTAATTTGATACATGTTTGGAATTATTTTATGGAAAACAAAGATTATAACAGGAGTATGCATACATAAACACATAAAGAGTGCTCTTTGGGAAGGAAGTGAATCAAATAGAATCCTTTCTGTCCCAAATAAACGTGCTAAATGCCCACACCACTGCACAGCCATATGATAACCTTGCTGTTCCACCAAAAAACATCTCGTGCTCTCTTATGTGCCAGGACTAGTCTTCATGTAGTTACATGGTCTGGAAGAGACTGTTTTTCTCCTTTTATGTTGTTTGCAGTGTTGTTGGGTCATTTCAGCTGCTTTCTCTCCAGTTCCATGCCCAGTCTCACTGTGTGATTTGGTGGGGAGCAGTGCCTGGGCAGAGAAGCAGCAGCGAGAGCTGATCACAGAATCAAGCCACAATTATTGCAGATTAAAAAGACTGTTCAATCAAATCTTAAAAAGAAAAAAAAAAAAAAAAAAAAAAAAAAGAGGTGTGTGTGGGAGGAGAATTGAACAGATGCCTCAAGAGCTCTCCATTCCCCCAGTGAGAGAATTCTGGTTTCAGAAGCAAAACTGCAGAGTCACGAGCATCTGCTCAGTGGCTGCTGTAAAGCAAGATGGTTTTGGGCCAGGCAGATGCTGCCATCTGACCAAATCCCATCACACTTCACATTAAGGGACATTCTTGCTGGAATCATGAGCAGGGCTGGGCAGACTGGGGTCTTTAGAGAGCACTGGCAGTGTTGGCTGCACCCCGGGAAGCCAGTTCTGATTCCGTGTGCACCTTTCTGGGGGAGTTTAATCGACCATCAAGAACTGAAGTCACATCTAGTTGGTTTTATTATCCTATTTTCTGTGCTTGTGAGGGATTGGGATATTTTCAGTGTTTTTCTATTACATTTTCTCTGCTATTACCTGCAAGCCTGAGATGATAAAAATGATCGTAGTGAAATATGCCCATTTCCTTGTGTTAAAGTCAATAGCCTCCTCTGGCCCATAACTCCTGGATATAAATTGTATTTTCACTGTATGAGAAAACACAGAGAAAAACCACTGTGTTTTGAATATGCTGTAGGGAAGATTCAATTGCCTTTCTTTTCATTTTCATGTATAAGGACAGAAGCACTACTCAATAATGCCAAAGCATTTTCTCTCCTCAGTGTTCCTGCCTATTTGATGCTGCCAGTACATTTTGTTCTTGAAAATTTGGAGGCTGATCTATGATATGCCACTGGCAGAGCATCCTTGTGCTGATAGTGATATAGTAGAGCACAGTGGAAATCTGCCATCCCTCCAAACATCACACACTAAAAGTAATGGCTGATACAACTCTTCTGATACAACCCTGAATTACATCAGAGGAATATTTTCCTGCCTAGTTATAGTCAATAATTAAGATTTTATTTCTTTATCAATGGAGAACCTCAGCAGTCTCACCACCCTATTTAAGTGTTCAGTTGTATTATTGAATCCTGAAATGCTACAATTTGAGTTTCATTTCTTCAGTAGTTCCCATGATGCACATGGTACATTTCACAAACCATGTATTTATTAAAAAAAAAAGAAAAATCAAAAGAAACATTCCTTAGGCTCCCCAACAATCTAAGATTTGGTGGGGAAAACAGGCAGGTGGTTAAAACTCATACTGAATGATCTCTTCTTGTAAATGTGTTCCACAAAACATCATTCAAAATATTCAAAACAGAAAAAAAACCCTAGCTGGTTATAGAAAATAACTACTGGTCATTGGATCATCCTGGGCTCAGAAAACACCTACTTTTGATATTAAGACATTGCAAACAATATTGCAAAGGAAAAGAGAAGAAATCCTGCTTTTTCGTATGGCAGCTGCTTTAAAAAATACTGTCTTTGCTCCTGAGGCTGCAACTTAAATGGCATCAGAATAGCAGCAAAGTCACTGTCCTGAGTCACTCTAATGGATCAGGAGCACGGAGAGCAAA